CAGGTCTGGGTTTATGGCTGGCTCAGAAATAACACTGCAAAGCCCCCACCAGTCCATCGCTGCAGACTTTACAAATGTGAAAGGAGCAGCAGCTGCCGTCAGCTCCAGGCCAGTTGTCCTGCAGACAATCAGGGCATTATATCATCAAAATGTGGCTCCTGTGCACCCTGGCGTATAACTATGTGATCTCTCACCCTGATGTATGGATTGCACTGGATGCAGCTAAATGTTTGGAATGGTCTGTTCATTCAGGGCACACTTTCCCAGGCCTGGGACAATTCTGCTGACTGGTGCTGGGAGCTGGCTTGCAGATAAACTGGCTTGATATCAGCAACTTTGCCCCCCAGGCTGTCCTGGGAGGACGGGGAGTTTGCAGAGCCACAGATCCATCAGCACCAACACCTCCAGCTGATGCTGGCCCCATCCAGAAGGATCCTGGGGGCTGTACGTCACTGGTGCTTTGGGACAAGCTGACTCCTTCCATGCTCACCCATGCACACATTGTCCAGATTTCATAAAACCTGAGGAGCAAACTGGATTCTGCCTGGGAACAGAGGGAACCGAAGCCTGTAGCACGAGCAGGCAACTGCTTTGAGATCCTCACCCCTCTGTGCGTTACAGGCAACTGCTTTGAGATCCTCACCCCTCTGCATTACGCATCTGACGTGCTTGTGTCCACCTGGGTGGTGTTTCCAGAAATCCCTTCATTTTGAAACAGGCGGCTGCAAATGTACACGGGGGAGAGAACCAGGATGCTGTGTCCTGGCGTGATGCCGTGCTGGAGGGGAATAGCAGGGGTGCCCATCCATGGCACCATTCCTGAAGAATTATTTTCTTATTGCTGGGTGTTACCAGACCTTTGTTAAGAGGGTCCTGACAACTCTGCAGCCAGTTCTTCAACATGAGGATGGGGAGCAGCCTTTCCCAGTACGCTGACGCTCATTTGGGTGGTTGCATGCTTCCAGAGCAGATGTCCTGCAAAATTTTTCATGTATCCCGAGCTTGAGTGTAATATTGCTGCAACTAGTTGAAAAGCTGCTGCAATTCCCCCCAGAAGTGTCTTTATTTTTGGGCTGGGTGACTTTTAAAGATGCTTCGGGATGAAAGAGATCATCTATAAGCTAGACCTGACCTCACTGTGGAGTCATCCCTACTCACTGGGTGACTTCTGAGCAAAAGAAAACTGGTGAAGGCAGGGAGTAAATAGGGCTATTTTTGTAGTTTGTCTTCCAAGTCAAACAAAAATAAGAGCTGACTGGAGGCTGTGTGACACACTGGAAACTGAGAACAGGCACGGCGGGACCCGACCCTCCCTGGGTAAGTCGGAATGGCATTTTGGGAGTCAGTGGAGGTCACGTTCCTGCCCTCCAGCCACGCAGCCTGGAGCTGTTCAGAAGCTGGGGGGCAGTGGGGTGAGCCACGTGTGGTCAGCGTTGGGGAAACCCAGGGCTGTGGGTGTTGGTGGTGATCCAGTCGCTGTCCCCATCCTCTGCGTCAGGATCCAGCCGATGGCTCAGCAGGAGCTGGCGGAGGTCTTGCCTCCCAACCTGAGACCCCAGCGTGGGCAGTGACGGTGGGTTCCCAGCACCTGGGGTCACTGCCCACCGGTGCTGGGGTGTACAAACCTTCCCTGGATTTCAGGGGGGCTTTTACCCACATGGTTCCCCCAGTGCTGCAGGGCTGCTTTGCTTCCTTTCCAAGTGGGGAATTTCCAAATGGCCATATATAGATAAGCCTCTCCAAACAAAAACTTTTATGTAGAGCTAAAAAAAAAAAAAAAAGGCTGTGTTCCCAAAAGCCTGTTTGTTCCAGCTGCGGTAATTTGCCTCCGAGAGGATATTGCATCTCTTCAGAAATTGCGTATTGTTTACATCCCCGGAATGTCACGGCAGCTGCAGCGCGCCACCAAAGCCTTCCCATGCGCAGCAGCGTGGTCCTGAGGGTTTGTGCTGTGCCGTAGATGTGTGTGCATGCCTGAGTCTCTGTACATCGCAGTCAAAATACAGTAGATGGGTTGTTGGTGGGTTTTGCTTGGGTCTTTTTTTTTTTTTTTTTTCTTTTTACAATAGTTAATTGTTCCTGAGCTGTTCTGTAGCTTGGCATGGTGAGAAGATCATCCCAAGTGGATTCCACTCGAGTCAATGGTGGGTGGAGCGAAGATCTTACAGTGCTGGGGAGCTGAGCCCAGGCGGAGATCTGCAGCCAGCTTCTGATCACGTTTACACCGGAGCAAATCTGGAGTGATGCTGCTGGCTCCCGAGTGCAGGATGCAGCTAGGAAAGAATAGCATGCTCCTGCACCAGCCTTACTGGAAACAGGATCTGTCACTTACAGTAATGTTTAAAAATAAAACCAAATTGTCTACGATCTAATTATTTTCCAGGCTGTTTTTTCCTGCTTCCACCTATCCCAGCAGGACTCCCAGGGAGATAAAGACTGAAACCTCTCCAGGCTGCAGGGTGGGAGACTGAATGGCGTTTGCATTGATAAACTGACAAAAAAGGGAATTATTTTAAGACGAGCAACCTTTCCTTCGGAAGTGAGTAATGGAAGGAAATCATCCCCATGTACCCGCCAGCCCCAGCCAAGGGGCTGTGAAGGTGCGTCCCTGAGACAGCCCCGCGGCGTTCCCAGCCCCTCGTTGCAGTCGTTTGCTCTGAGCAGGTCTTTGGGCAACGGGGCGGCAGGAGGGTGGGACAGGAGCGGATGGAGATCTGGGTTGGTTGATGAGGAGCAGCTGGTTTGCAGTGGGGCATTCCTTGCTTCCTCCAGCCCATCCCTTCCCTGTCCCAGGTCCAGAAGAGCAGGTAGGACACGTTCACCAGCAGAGAACAAGGATGCGTCTGAACAAGTCCTTCGCTCAGCGGTGGTTTGGAAAGCCTTTTGCCTTCTTGGCTGCCACCATGGTCGATGCATCAGCAACTGAAACAAATGTGAATCTGTGCGATGAGGACCGAGGAATCTCCTCAGATGGCTGAATTAGACCCTGGTGTGATTACCTTTGCTGGGTAATTTTTCCCTGGAAGCTTGCTTGCCAAATGACTGACAGCTTCCCTGCCAGAGTACCTTCTTACCAACTTCACCACGAGTCCTGGTGAATAAGCCCAGCTCTGGCAGAGCATGCCCAAACCACACCGGCTCAGAGGAAAAAGTCTGCTCTGGATCTCAAGAGGCAAGGATCAAGCCCACTGGGCCAACGGTCAGACATCACTCAGTGGCTAATATCCAGATTCATTTCGGTGGGCTGGAACATTGAGAAACCCTGCTCTGTGTGTTGGGGAAACCAGCCAGTGACAGGATTTGATCACTGTGGCTATTGCACCGGGATTCCGACGCCAGCTTTGAGGGGATCTCCCAAGTTATGTGCTCTTGGTATGAGAGATGGGGTGTCTGATTCTCTTGAGTCCCTAGGACAGTGCTACCCCAGCCTGCATGAACCCATGGGTGAGGCTGGCCCTCATCGAGGGTTATGCACATGGGATGAAGGTATCATACAACCTGATGCTGCACAGCTCCTTCGTGATGCAGCTGGGTACCAAACTGGGAGGGGAACACAACCAGGATGTTTAACTAGTGACTGAATCCATGGTTTCTCCATCTGATCAGATTTCTTGGGCTTGTCCTGACTTTCCATTTGGTTAATGAGTTTGGATACAACGTTTTTTTTCCACCCTGCGCAGCTCCTTGGCTCCTAACTCCTGTTCACTTTTTTTATAGCTCCCAGGAGAGAGAAAATCAAATTGGAGGAAATATTGCTCACCGGTTTTGGAAATCCAACAGGCTCCTCAACTTTCCTCCTTTCAGCCTGTCTCATTGATCACTCCCCACATCCAGGCAGATGAGGATTGACTGGTCTCTTCATCACTGGGTGTAACTCTCCAGCTTTTCCCTACTAGTAACGTCTTGGGTCTGCCCAGAAGTAGCACGTGTTAGAACCTGCGTGGGGGAAAAAAAGGGACAGGGACTATTGTCACCTCTACCTGATGAGATCAGGACCCAAAAGTGGATATATGGACAGCAGGACAGCCATGAGAAGGGAAACTAGGCTTGGCTTGGGTTTTGTTCTGGGAAAAGTCTCCTGTGTATGGGGGCAATAGAGGCTGCACGCCAGCAGAGGCTGAACCTGGGGTCTTTGGTAAGCTCCGCTGCCCCTCCACCCAGGAAGATCTTTGTCACGGGTTTATCTTCGGGCAGTGAGTCCCCTTTGACTCAGAAGTCGCAAACTTGAGGATGTATTTAAAGGGGAGGCAATCCGTGGGCACGCAGCAGGCTGCCGCACGTACCGCCAGCACCAGAGCATCGCTCCGTGCCCGTGCCGGTGCCGCCACTCCCCATCCCGGCAGCGGTGTTCCCACCGGCTCTGCGCTTCCTGGGGTCTTCCCACCGGCTCTCCCCCAGGTAAAGCCGTGGGGCACGGTGGCTGTGAGTCCCCCGTGGGCAGCGTGGGGCAGGGACATGGGCTGGGCAGCGCTAGGACCTGCGGGAAGGCTCGGCCGCCTCCTCCCAGAAGATTTTATTAGCCAATATTCCCAGGGCAGGGAGGCTCCCCAGCCTGTCTCCTCTATATACGTGTTTTTCCTTTTTCTAGTTCATTCCTTTTTCTAGTTCATTCCAGAGCAGAGCAGCTTTGGATTTCTCTAAGCTTCTTTTTTTTTTTTTTTTCTTTTTTTTCTCCTTTCCCCTAGTAGCTGGATTGCTGCCAGTGTCTTGCGGGGCCAAAGTTTTATCTATAGGGATAGATTTTGCAAACCAGCCCAGCTGCACGCAGGCTGCCTGCAATTGAATCCTCGCTCCTGGGGCAAGTTTAAGTCAGGAAAGGAACAGCAGCAGGGGTGCTGTTTGTGCCTCTCCTCCAGCTATTCCTGTCAAGATGGATTTATGACTTTACAAGGAGAGAGGAGGGAGTAGGGGGGGGAAGGAAAATTGCCTCCAGGAGCCAGAGCTGACACCACAGCCCAGCAAAACACCCAGAAAGCAGCAGTCGGATCGTGAGGCATGAGCAGCGGAAAAGTGGCACCCTGGGATCGGGTGGATCCTGGCAGCGGAATATGACTGATCTGAAGCCTTTCATCTGCCTTCCCAGAGCCGAGCTGCTGGATTTAAGGTAGTTTGCCCAGGAGCAGGCTTTGCTATGTTGGCCAAGGCAGTGATTTCTCTCGGTCTGTGGCTGCGGTTTGCTGCGGGACAGGACGCACCTGAGCGAGGTGAGTGCCCGAAAAGGCGAGGTGTCACTGCTTTCCCCCATTTCATACCTCCTGGTCCTTAGAGCTGCTCCTAAAACCTTTTCAGAATAAAAGCTGCAGTTGTATCGCTGCTTTAGGTGGATAGTTGTACGTTGCTCTGCTGGCACAAGGACAAAAAAATCCTTTCTATATTAGAAAGAAATTTTATCTTGCTTGTTTCCAGTTGCAGAAAGGAAACTGCTTCAGAAAATTGGGGAGTTTAGTGCAATCCTATGGAAATAGTCCTGATTCCTCTCTGTTACCTACGTGCTGGGGTACATCGGTTAAGAGAAGTAAAATCAGTGGTTGCTACTATACCTGTCGTCTTGTTCTCTTGCTCATCTCTGGATTGTATTTCCTCTTTAAAATGTTTTCTCTTGGGTACTGCTCAGGGAAAATGCTGATGGGTCAGTCCCACCAGGCTGACAGCAGGGAAGGGGATGGGTGGGGGGGTGAATGTCTCATTTCTGGCTCCTGCAGCGCTGGGCAGAAGCTTTAACCCACTTTGCGGCGGTGAAGCTGATGCAATGACTTCTGTTCTGCCTGGTGTTCGCAAGCAGGAGAGGTTCTGCTCCTTGGCTGCAGGGCTGCTCCATCTGGTTGTCACTGCACCGGGGACACGTACCCAGTGTGGAGGGAGAAGCGACCCTCTGGTCCATCCGGACAGGAGGTCTGCACGCTCGGACTGCTGGGGTCCGATCCTGCTCCTGGTGCGCAGAGCAGCCTGTGTCCATTGCCTGGATCCCCTTACAGGGTGCTGGATCCCATCCCGCAGTGACACAGGCTGGTTCAGGAATGGTCCTGCTGCCTCTGGCGGTGTCACAACGCACCATGGCCACGTTATTCCTATTGTCACACGTTCCTGCTGCTGTGGGAGCGTGTGTGGCCGTTCCCCAGCCCAGGCTGAAAACAATGCTCAGACTTCAGAGTATGTGACAAAGCGCGCGGTGGCATTCCGGCAGGATCGTGCCTTGCTCCAGAGGCTGCTGTGTGTTATTCTCCTGCCGACTTTGCGCCGTGAGCACCCCGAGAGGAAATGAACCTGCTGGTGGGCACGATGCCGGTTCCCTGTGGCTTTGATGTGGGGCCTCCCGGGCTCCTCCAGGTGCTCCCTAAAGCCACCCAGAGCACACAGCCCGTGGGGCAGGGCTGCTGGGCACGGGCTGGCTCTGTCCCGAGGTGTGGCGGTGGTGGGAGAGGGTCACACTACGAGAGGCACTGTTCGAGAGGCAGGGATGCACGTCCTGGACTCCGTTTCCTGGGGACTCGACTGGATGTGGATGGTTGTGGCTTTATCCTCAGCTGCAGGGGGTAAAGTGAGGAAGGTACTGGGTGGCCACTGGTGGTTCTGCACACCCAGGAGCGATGGGCTTTTGCAGGGCAGTGGCTATTGACAGCGCACCAGGGCACAGAGTCAAGGCAGAGCATCCTATGGCCGGTTCCAGCAGTTCCCTCTTTGGGTCCAGAGTCAGATCTCTGCCGCATCTGTGTGAGGTGTGACCATTGGATGGTTTGGGCTTTGATAAATGAACCTTAGGTTGTCATTACCTGGTTAATTTGGACTAGCATCAGCAGAAAACAAGGGGGATGTTGCCATCCCTGTGGGCGCAGCAAGTGAAGAATAAAGCAGGGGATTTGCCGAGGTCCCTGATTTCAGGAGCACAGCTCAGTACCTGGCGTCATTCCGTGATTCCAGGGCTCCTGAGGCTCTAAATTAAACAGCAGAGAGAGTGAAACTCCTGAAAAAGATCACACGGGATGGCAACCCAGCTTCCTTCCTGCCAGAGGAATGTGTCTGAAGGGCCGGTTCTCCACCTCCAGCCTGCAATCCGGGGCACGGACGAGCTGGAACCTGCACAGACAGCTCCAGCTTTCAGCCACACCGGGATATTCTGCTCGGTGGGGCTCAGCTCCTGAAATAGGCGGGTGATCCAGCCGTCTCCCACGGCACAGACTCTCTGACACAATTTTAAATTTAAATGTAGAGCAGCACCCAGCTGGCTGGGTGGGATGGCTCTGTGTGGGGAGAGGGGATGTCCTTCTCCTGCCTCTCACGGTGATCCCAAGGGGCCCCGGGACGTGCAGGATGCCTTCTGCAGCCTCCAAACCTGGCTCTGCTCATAGCTGAGCTTTTTTTGTTGTTTTTTTTTTTTTTCCCTTCCATGGCCAAGCAGTGAGAAGGGAAGACAAGCACGGAATTTCAGACATAGTTAACCAAGACAGGACATGATCGTTTTTGGCTGTAAAATCCTTGATGCTCCACGAGTTCCAAGTCCCGTGTAAATCAGGGATGTGGCGTGTGTTCAGGTCCCAGCTGAGGGCTCGGGGAAGTCTTGCAGCGGATGTCTGCTGTCAGCATCTCGGTGTAAGACAGGGAAGTCTGAGCAGCTGTTTTTCTCCTGGAAAAGCCAAGAATTTAAAATAGGCAGCGCTGTGACTCCGTGGTGACGTTCTGCTCCCATATCCATCCCTTCAAACCACGGCTTTGCACGACTGATGCGTGTCTACGGACCACATACCAGAGGGTGACAACGGGACACTGCCATGTGTCCTCTGGTGTCCCCTGGACTTGTGCAGAGCAGGGGAGCAGCAATGATAGGAGGTCTGCAGGAGCAGAAGCCTGATGGTTCAGGAGGCAGGAGGGGCTCCTGGGTGCCCCTTCTCTCCAAATCCCCCTGGAAGTGAGAAATCTTCCTTTGGCATCTTGCCAAGCAGCCCAAAGCAAAGAAACTTGCTTGAGAGCAGCAGCCGCTTGTGTAACGCTGGGATTTACTGGTAACGAACCTCTGCAGCCCCGCCTCTGGCACCGATGACATGTTTGTGTTGGATGGAGGACAAAGAGCAGGAAGAAGGATGAAAACCTAAACCTGCAGGGAAGGACCATGGAGTGTCCAGTCGTTTTATAAGCGTTGCCATGCGCCTTTGTCTAGATTTTTGTTTTTAAGGATCCTTTCTGCTGACAAAATCTGAACGGGAGGAATTTGTTCCATCTTACGCGGGGCTGGGTGTTCGCAGAGGTATTTGCCTCTATGACAGACCAGCCTTCTGCTCCACCCACAGCCAGTCCCTTTAGCTCCGGAGCATCTACCTGCCCACAGTGGAACTGCTGCTTTTTTAACCTTTTTTTTTTTTTTTTTAAGCTGAAAGAGGGCAGATTGAGATGAGATCTGGGGAAGAAATGTTTCCCTGTGCGGGGGGTGAGGCAGTGGCCCAGGGTGCCCAGAGAAGCTGTGGATGCCCCATCCCTGGAGGGGTTCAAGGCCAGGCTGGATGAGGCTTTGGGCAACCTGGGCTGGTGGGAGGTGTCCCTGCCCATGGCAGGGGGTGGCACTGGATGGGCTTTAAGGACCCTTCCCACCCAAACCCTTCTGTCATTCTCTATCAGCCTCTTGGAGCAGTGCCCCCGTGGGGCTCAGCACCCCCAGCCCATCCCTGCCAGGCTCCCTGCTGTCTCTGGGCTTGCCTCGACATGGCTTTTTGCAGGAGGAGAGCTGTTTGCATGAGCTGTTTCCTTGGAGCGATTCCTTTCACAGGAGCCTTTCCATTCAGCCGTCTGCTGCCGTGTGGTTTTGGCTCCCGTGCGTGGCTCCGGCGTTCAGCCACTGCGTGCTGCACCCATCCATCCGTGCTCCGGAGCCCGCGTCGCTTGGCTACCCCACGTTCCTGATCCTCTCGCTGATAGAGGAACACAAATGGGCAGGCAGGAATCTCTACTCCAAGGGGGTTTTTTTCTCCCTTCTTGCACCTCAAAAGCTGTCAGGGTGGTGGTTAAAAGAATTCCAGACTCATCATTGATATTCCAGCTCTTGTAAATGTCCCAGAGGGGTATAAGGAGGAGTCCCCGATAGGTTTGTGCTTCCCACAGAGCAGTTTAAGTGGAATGGTAAGAAAATGAGCCAAATGGAGTGGACTCCAGAGCACACCCGCAGAAGCATGTTCTCCCTGACATCTTGCATTCTTCTGCACCAACGGGTCTGCGCAGCCCTTCCCCTCATCCCAGAGCCCCTTTGGGGTGCTGCTCCTAAGCCCCCCTAGGAAAGGAGGTCAGTATGGCTTCAGAACAGCAAGAAAACCTCAAACTAGCCTAGTTTGTACAAATCAAGGGAGGAGTCCCCCCACTCCAGACTTTCCTGCCAGCAGCGGTATAAATCAGGGAGCTTGCTGCCAGCCTTGTGCGGATCGCAGCCTTTGAACCGCGAAGCAGCCGGTTCTGAGAATCGGCCGCCTCTCCTGGGAGAGCAGAGCCAGCCGGTTTCCTCATCAAGTTCCTTTATCATTTCATTCTTCTCCAAAGACAGCTCATTTTTCTCCCAGGCACTGCCATTGTCATAAGATGAGATAAACCTATAAGTTGGTTTAGGGCCAAAAATCGCTCCTGACCTCAGCGCTTGCTCTCGCTCTTGCCAGGCTGTTTGCAGTTTGCTCCTTTCTCCGCGACGGCTGCGCGTTAGCCCGGAGCAGCGGCTCCGCATGGCCGAGGCTGCTCCCTGGCAGGGGGCACGGCCAAGCCGCTGGCTCGGGCTGCTGAGGAATGTTCCCAGCTCCTGGAACATGTCCACCTCCAGCTTGGAGCAGAAAGTCCTGGGGATCAGCCGGGTGTTGTGTAACCAGAGGTGTCGGTGCAAGCCAAGGTAGCTCAGAGGCATTTTTTCTGCAGCAGGATCCAGGATTTGTGGGTTGTACTTTTGGCTCTGCCCCAACTCTTGCCTCTTTCCGCTGCCCTGGCCTTTCAGTTCAGTAAAGGGTTAATAACATGTGCCTGGAAAGGCTGTCAGGGGGTTTCCTAAGCCTGTGCGGTGCTTGCAGACCCTGCACTAGCCGTGGTGTGGGCATTCCCCGGTGTGCTCCGGGGCCAGAGCTCCCTCTGCTCCGGCAGCGTCGGGTCCTGGCATCTCTCCTCCCTGCTCCCAGCCCTGTCCTTCTGCAGGACCTGAGAACCTGAGAACATCTCACCCAGGTGAGATGGGTGTCCTTGGAAGTGACCTCCCTTCAAAATTCTCACTGAATTCTGAGGTTGGGCACAAGATGACCAGGCTTTGTGCCTGGGCAGGTATGGGCTCACGTCACTCCACTAACGCACGTCCATCTCTCTTCCCTTGCCAGGTCCCCAGCCGTCTGTTTCCAATTCAGAAGGGGACCTCCTCTTCTTGCTGGACAGCTCGGGCAGCGTCTCCTTCTATGAGTTTTCCAGGGTCAAGGAATTCATGTGGGACCTCGTGCAACCTTTCACGTTTGGCCCCAGAGATGTCCAGACCAGCATCATCCACATCAGCACGACGCCCACCATGGAGTTCCCTTTCAACCGCTACCTGTCTCGTGGGACTCTGCAACAAGCCATCAAGGACACTCGGCAGCTGATGGGTGACACTAACACGGGCAAAGCGCTCTCCTACGCCAAGGAGAAGCTCTTCAGCGATGAAGCTGGTGCCCGGCCAGATGTGCCCAAGGTACTGGTTTGGGTGACGGATGGTTTCTCCACTGATGACATCTCGGAACCCATGCAGCTCCTGAAGGACATGGGAGTGACAGTCTTCATCGTCAGCACCGGCCGGGGAAATTACCTGGAACTCTCTGCGGCTGCCAGCCAGCCCCCGGAGAAGCACCTGCACTTTGTGGACGTCGATGACCTCCCCATCATCACCAAAGAGCTTCGAGATGCTATCCTAGGTACGGCGGGGCTGGGCTGTGGTCGCTGGGAGTTTGGGACAGGGCTGGATGTGAGTTAGCGCCTGGGTCTGCATGCTGGCAGCGTGAGAATCCCCTAAAACCATGGTCCTCCTGACCCACAGCTCCTGCCTGTGCAAACCGAGGTGCTTTGTCCAAGATTCTGTAGGTCCAAGTACAAACCAAGGCTTTGAGGAGGTCTGGGACAAATATCTCTGCTCCCCTTGGAGGGTCCCAGCACGGACTGGGACACATTCCTTTCTGCAGACCTGTTAGCGAGATGAACTTGTGTTTGTAATTAATTGTTCAGTTGTTAATGACGGAAGGAGGCTCGGGCAGCACGTTATCCGGACTCCTTAGAAACCAGCAGGACTCTGAAATGAATCACGCAGGTCACAGCCATCCGCACAATGCAAGAGCAGCACGAGTCTACCCCCGCCTGCAGGGGTTCATTGTTAACCAGCGGCTTCCCGAGCAGGCAACGAGCTAACTGCAGGCAGAGGCTGCTGGTGGTGGGAGCAGGGTGCCTAAGCCCCTTGAATTCAATTTTCACTTTCAGGGTGATTTTTAATTTTTTTTCTCTAAAACGCTGTCTGGCTCTGTGCTGTCTGATGGAGGCGAAGAACGTGAATGTGTTGAGCACATTGCATAGACAAAACGGGCTGTGCATGCCTGGGGAGGATTTGGTCCTGTCGGATCCCTCCAACTCTTGCCTGGGGTAGATCTGCCTCCCTACACATACCACCCTGTGCAGGCACAGCGGCTGGCACGCACCGAGACACCCACCTCCTGCCCACAAGTGGCTGTTCTCTTACCAAGAACAATTGCAGATGGTGCTTGCTATCAGCAGCCAGATTGTAGGAGACAAATGGTTCTTGTTCCAGAAATCCCCTGTTGTAACGTGTTCCACACCCGTTGGATCTATAGCCCGCCTTGGCCAGCGCAGCCCTCGGAAGCAAACCCCAGCCTTGACTCGTGCGGCTGAGCAGCCCAGCCGCCTCGCCGGT